ATATTATATATATCATTTTGTAGCTCGTGAAATTCTCTATCGAATGATGTACAGTAGTTGAGGTTTGCTTTGGGCAAAGAGAAGAAATGGGGAAAATATTCTAAATAAAATTCATTTAAGGGGTGAACAGTTTGGATGCGGAATTTTTTCCAGGGGGGCTGAAAATGGTTTTTTTTGAGATGCTAGTTTTAATCACGAAGAAAAACTACATCAGACTTGTGAATATGAACTTGATCTGAGAGGGGGCCGATTTTGCCTCTTATCGACCCCCGTCCTTTAGGCTCGTTGATTGTTAATAATACATCTTATATAGTATTTGGTTTTTTCAGAAAAAATCCAGAACTTTGCTCGAATCTATTTTAGGCAACATACATGATTTTCATTTATTTTCACTACAAACTAAAAGATTCATAACTTATCACATAGAATAATTCGGAATGAGTTAAACATTTTGGATTATAGTGTGACGATCATATACAAAGTTGTGAGAAAACATCTTATTCCAGAAGATTTCTGAATGCCCAGCCTGAAGTCCAGTACAATATACACTCTCGTATTACTTTTTTAACTACTTTATTACACGGTCCATTTACAAGACTTGTGGATCCTCAGAGTTTTAACCAAGAGAGAAATAACCTCCAATTTTCGTGCACACACTTCGAAATGTCTCTCACTCTGAGTGACACTTTATCACTTAAGGCGACACTTACGAGGGAACCTTTCAGATGTCCCCTTCCGATTCCAAAGATTTGTACATGGGTCGATAGACCTCAGTGAGCTCGTAAATACCCTAAAAGATTTGTTCCCATGACTTTTGAAGATCCGGTTTCTGGAAAACCAGTTTTTCAGAAACTCTAAAGAATAACTAAAACTTCCGTTTAATAAGACATAAGTGTAGCCCGCAAATTTCTGATTAAAATGAGACGATACAGCGACATTACCGCGAACGACAGTACCACGAATACAAAAAACGACATTACCGCGAAGACTTGTGTATTGAAAAATATTTCAAACTTAACTGAAGTTATGTGGTGACTAGTCCTTATCTCACCGCCCTTCCCCCACGCCTCCTGCGAACACTGCCAAAATATCCAAATGTGTACTATAGTAAAATTCGTGGAAGAGTCGGGATCCTGTTTGCGGAAAGGTCGTGTCACGGGTTCCACACTGTTATGAATAGTGAGCTTCAGTTTATCGTGTGCCGAAGAGAAAGCCGGTCACACACGATAAGCAATGAAACTGGATATCTGTAATTGTATCACATAATGACTATTAACTACATAACTTCGCCCAGGTTTGAAAACATGATATACAAAACACAAAACCAGGCTCACTTATTTTTCTTTTCCAATAAACGAGTCTTCGCGGTTCTGTCGTTCGTGGTAATGTCGCTTTTTGTATTCGCGGTACTATTGTTTGCCGTAATGTCGTATCACGAAATGAGACATCTCCCAGGTCGACACGACTTTTTGTTGTAAAGTTATGGAATTTACAAGAAAAGCCTTAAATGTCCATCGTCGGATCAACGCTACAGAAATAAGAAGAAATTAATTTAGGGCTTTTCTTGTAAATTCCATAACTTTGCAACAAAAGCTCGTGTAGAGCTGGGGGATGTCTCATTTTAATCACTCTTCAAACCTCTGTTAAGTGGAATAACTCATTTTTGCCTACTTTCGAATATAATTAAAAATCATAATCCGATCAAGATCAATCTAAATTATGCCAGAATATCAAGATGTACTCTATTTTACCTGCTCAAGACGATTTTTTTACTTCCGAATAGTAAAAAACATTCCTGTACTTCGAAAGATTTCTAGAAAATCTTTTCAAAAGTCATCTGTTGATTTATAAAGCTTTTATTGAACTGCATAGTACTGAACAAGTAACATCGAGTACATCTTGATATTCTAACATAATTTAGATTGAGCTTGACTGGATTATGAATTTTTTAATTATACTCGAAAATAGATAAAAATGAGTTATTCCACCTTTTTCACTAGGTTGTTACAGGTTTTCTGAAAAACAAATATAGTCACGAGATTCAGCGTGGTTGATTACGTATGTTTCCATTATTTTCGAAATTACCATACCTAAAGGAATACCTGGGACTCTCAGCCAATCCGATGCCACGCCTGAACCAGAAAACTCAAGAGTTCGCTTAGTTCACATTTTGAGGAGGACAGTTTGGACTATCTGTCTATGGAAAAAACCGACAGATTGCTATCTCAGTTTCCGGAGATCCGAAGTGCTTTTTCAAAGATCTGCTTTCGAATACTTTCGGAAAAGGTTTTGCTTATGAAAACATAGGTTAAACCGTCTTCTTTCGATGGTTGAAAATCGCAAGTCCCTATCTTTTATCGTTTTGAAGTTATTCGAAAAACAATCGAGTGCATTGAATTTTGGTGCCGATAGTAGGTATATCTGACTGTTGGTTTTTAACCAAAGTCTAATTATTCTTACAGCAAGGTTCAAAGCTCCGATCGCGATTTTCGGCAGAGAAGAGAAAAACAGTCAGAAAAGCACAAAATACAAACTAATACTACGTTCGCTCTAAAATTGACTCACACTCTTGGAGTGTCACTTCGGCACTTCAAGTGTCACTTCGATCATAAATGCACACACTTGAAGTGAGATTTTTCCCCCTTGGTTTTTTGACTCATTCTAATCATTCGGAGTGAGTTATAAATATTTGACTAATTAATGTGTGTGTGACGTAAAATCGGTTCTTTTGTAAATAAATTTTCATCGAAAATATATGAGTGTTCTGTTTTCGCCGATGAATAGTCCACACCTAAAGGCGTCTTCAAGTTTGAAATTGTTTTCTAGGGTGATAGCAGCGCGAAAATTCTAGTTTTTCGTAGTCCGCCAACCACATGCTATAATTCACATACGACGATTCATAATCGGGTCTGTTTCTGCAATACCTTGGATCCTATACACCAGCCGACAGAATCACTCATGATTCTGCTGTCTTCACAGTGATAGCTGCAATATGTTACATTTTGCCTCTGGCAGTTCTAACAAAAATTTGACGTTGCCAAAACTTCCGAGAAATGCGTCAGAAAGGGTTTATCTTTGTCCGAAAATCGACTTTTTATACACTGAACAGAATCGGTCCAAATGTTTTTTCTGAACGGCTTATTGAATGAATGTACGAGCAGCAAAGTGTCTCTTTATTCAAATCACTTTTCGCATTTTGGCGCGAACAGTGGCGCAACAAGAGTCCCGATGCATTCCGATGGCTTAAATGTGATCACGTGATTCATCCATGGCTTATAGACTGCCAGATGTCTTGGCCAAAGCTAGTGTCTCGCGTCTTTGTGCTGTGTTAGTGCTGTGTTCCGAAAGCATCTGAGCTATTTTTCTTGAAAAAGGCAGCAACTTACAGATGTTTTATTAAGATATCAAGGCGACTAGCAGTAAGAAGATATGAGAAAATGCACATGACGTGCCTTTATTACGTACCGCGGACGCATTTTGACGTCATCAGATTAGTTTATAAAGACACATTCTTTTGACAGTCTACACTTTGGACAGTTTCCGTGTAAAAAAGACAATAAGTTTCAAAGTTGGGAAACTCAAATAGCTTTTGAAACAACCATTCAAAATCTTATATTGAAAAAAAATTTTGAAATTTCTTTCTTGTAGGAGGCACTCTCACCCTCTGCCTGTTGATCGACGAGTATTTAGGGTATCCATCTACTTGCGATCAAAGTTACTGAAAGATAACCGTGAGCGTTGTTTCGATGAAGGATAGTGATCACCTCTGCTTTTATTTTCAGGAAAAGATAAAGAATGGCTTGGATTACAGAAAAACAATGATAAGATTATTCGACCACATGAGTGGTGTCTCTAACCACCAGCAGAAATGAAACACGATGGAAATATTTCCTCAAAGAAAATAGCTGGTTCAATTATTGGAATGGCAATAGGCGATGCATTAGGCGCACATGTTGAATTTAGACCAAGAACTTATTTAGTTGAATATCCGGTGACCGAATTGAAAGGCGGTGGGACATGGGGATTGGAAGAAGGTAAGAAGATTGTTAAAATATATTCCACACCACTGTTATTTCACCCGAAGATATAGCTTGCAAGCGTGAATAATCAAAAACGTAATTTTTCAGCAGCTCAGGACAAAGTAGGCCAAAGTGACAGTCACGCATTTTGTCTGCGTGTTTTACAGGAATGGTACGAACTTAAACGACAGTAAGACTTTCATTCTACAAACATGCAGACAAGTGAGATTTTCTGACCTTTGTGATGAATTTTAAATCGTGCCTACCAAACAGTTTGGGGTGATACCACAGCATGGAGTATGTGTAACCTTTTGTCTCTTCCAGAATTCATGATTTTTATCACAGTTAATTTCATTAGAATAGAGAACGCGACCGTTGTCTCAGAGGAGAAAACTATCAAGAAAAAAACCGACAAATTGTCAATAAAGAAATTAAGAGTAAAGTCATCTTTTTTACATGATGAAGTAATATTATTTATCGAGATGTTGCGTCAGTTATTTACTAAAATCATCAGTCGAATGATCAGTTTATAAAGTGAAAAAACAGAACAGAAAACGGAAACAATGCGGAAAGAGAGCAGAAGAGAAAAATTTTAATGAATGTATAGCAATGTACAACTCCACACGCATTAAAAAACATTCACAACAAAACTTTTTAGAGACTAAACATTTTTTGAATGAATCCATCAGAAGGTTTTCTTCTATCGTTCGCATTGTTAAGATCGCTCGATTGTGAGCTAGGATACAGTCAGGTGAATTTCTCTTTGATACTCTGTTTATTTCATTATAATGTCGATTATTAAAAGTAAATTTGTTCTTTCAGTACAGCATAGGAATAACTCTCGCAGATTTTTGTCGTTCGAAATTCGAGTTGATTGGCCTAACAGGAAGATTCTATCTGTGTAGGAGGAAAACACAAACACCAACTTTTCAAATCTATCGAAAGAAGCATACGCGGAACTTCATCAAGAGATACGCAAAAAACAGTAGAATCATGAACGTTGTCCATAACAAAAATAATGATATGAAAATAAACAAAAAATTCATGAATCCTTTTGTATTCTCAGTCTTTCACGAATAAAATGCTTTTTATTATACTAGCCGTGTTAAGTTAGAGAGTCGGAATTCTTTTTATCCAATTTTAGTTTTCTGTAGGTTATCTGAGAAAGAAGATTTTTCAGAAAATAATTATTTTTAGTCTCACGAACATTACACATGCGATATTAAAGAATGTATGATGTAAAAATATGATTACATAATATCGGCATGATAGTCTAAAATATATTTAAAAGTTATATGAACTATAACTGAGCTGTAATGCAGAACAACAAAAAACCAGAAATCTAGCTCATTCTAAAATAAAATCATAGCGTACCCATGAAAAAATTTAAAACAAAAACCCGTTTTGTTTTAATCGAACATGTTTTCGCTCCACTTTTTGCGTGTTTTTATAACGCGTTCACACGCGCTCTTTTTTACTAATGAAAATGCTAAAAGCAGTTTTAAAAACGAGCAGTTTTAAAATTCCACTTTGAACTATAGTTCAAAGTTGAATTTTGCTTTGCCCTAGGCCAATATTACATTGGACTGAGTTTCACTTTAGACGATATATACCTATGCATAAATAGGCATACAAACGACTATACAACTTAGTGTACTAAGGAGAGAAAGAAAACAACTTGTACCTGGATGACTTCAGTGGGTTTGAACGTGGGTACCTAGCAGAGCTCCGTACGGACTCAAATTTTTGAGTCCAGTCCAGTCCATGGACTAAAAAGGTCTAGTCCAGTCCAGTCCGAGTCCATTAGATTGAGTAAATAGTCCAATGGACTTTGCAAACTTCTGTATGCTCTGATAAAAAATAAGTATTAAAAATTATATAAAGGGTGGCCCAGAAGTTCTGTCTCATTCAGTATTTTCTCAATATCTGAGTCAAGGTTGATCGCCTAGTCTTAATCTTTTTTAAAAGAAGCCTCTAGGTCAAGGGGGAAAAGGCGGAATGGGCTGGAATGGGTCATTCCAGGCCATTTCGTATCATTCCATACCATTCCAAACATTTTTGACCATTTTGGAATGGTACGGAATGGTATGGAATGGCCTAGAATGGCCCATTCCAACCCATTCCGTACCATTCCAAAACGCTTTTTCCCCCTTGCTCTAGGTACTACCTAGAATTAAGAAGCAAACACATAACTATATGAGCTAACAGACCATCGAAACATATACAATAAGAATGCCATGTGTTTCGTTCATGTCAGTCGGGCAAAACAGTGTTTGCTTCTTTATTCTATGACTTCTAAGTTTCATTTACAAAGTAAAAAGTAAAATTAAAGTCAAAATAAAGTATTTCTGCAGACAGTTATCTCCTTTCTCATACCTAACTATGTGTTTGAGAGAAATGAAATAATCTGTCTGTTAGATCGATATTCGCGTTCCTCCTTCTGTATAAAGGTAAATTCTGATACTGAGTTGCATTTTATTAAGAAAGTCGCCAGACGTAAGTGACTTTTTGAGATAGGATGTTTCTTCTCGTTAGGTTATTTTAGTTCATCGACTTTTTATTATGACAGAGCAAACATGAATTAACATGAACAGCGAATTTTGTGGTTAAACTCTGCGTTGGTCTTTGAATATTTCGGAGGCTATACTGCTACTTGACATATTTATTGTTTCATTTTATCGTTTCTTAAAGAGTGCCCTAGTGAGTCGATGCTCTCGTTACCTATGAATATGTGTTTGGAGACAAATGCTTACGCGTCCAAACGCTGTATAAT